AGGGGTCGGACCCGTTGGGGGTGGCGGCGTGCGTTGGGCCGGCGCTTGAGGTGTTGGATCACATGTATTCAGGTGCGGCCCGAGGTCGATTTACCATCTAGACGCCTGGGCTGGCGCCGTGTGCCTAGGGGCTTTCGGTCGGGCAGGGGCATGCCGGGTTGCGGGACCCCTTCCCACCATGGCGCCCCCCCTCGGCAAACACCTGCATGGAGGCTCCAGCGCACGCGCGGGAGGAATCCCTAGTACGCGCGCGCTCGGCACCCCAACCGCACGCGCGCCTGCAGAGCTGCACACAGCACTCATCGAGCCGCGCCGCGCACCCCGCGGGGGCGATCCCAAGAACCAATCCACACCAACCCATGCTCCGACCCACGCACCGGCCCACACATCGCCCCATGCGCATCCCAACCTCGCCCCGCAGGCGAGGTGGTTGTGCAGGAGCTCATCGATCGGTTCGGCAACCGCAAGAAGGGCTGGCCCAAGAAGCTGCTCAAGAGCCTGGAGGAGCGCAACGCCGCGCTGCTGGCAGCCATCCAGGAGCGCGTGTGCTTCGTGCCCAAGGTGCGCTCTTGGGGGCGCGCGCCTCCCGGGTGGCGCGGGGCACGGGTCTCCGGCGCCCGGGCATCGCATGCGCCGGCGGCTTGTGGTTTGCTCAGCAAAAATGCACCCGGCTATGCGCGCCTTGCCCTGCGCAGCATTTGCAGCCTGGTCACCCCAGCCTCAGTTGTATAGATCCCTGTATGCGCTCGGCAGCGGGGTGCTGGATTCGCATCCCTGGCAGCAAGCAGGCCTTCGCACCCCCACTCCTCCGTACCCTCGCGCCCGCTGCACGCCGCCAGGACCTGTTTTGGCCCCTGGGGCAGGCCTGCAAGGACGTCCTCACCGGGAAATACGGTGAGAACGCGGGGCCGATTGCGATGGGGCGGGCTGCGACTGGACGGAGGGCGCTCACTCATACAACGTCCGAGTGAGACCTGGCGGTATCGCGGGGGCTGACGAGATCCCGTTGGTCATATATGCATCACCTGGGCAGACGAGGAGGCGGAGAGGGAGGCCAAGGCAGCCAAGGAGGCGGAGAAGAAGGCGAAGGAGGCGGCAGCTGCCGCGGCCGCAGCTGCCGGCGCCTCCGACGACGGCGGCTCCGAGCGGGACGGCGGCGGGGCCCGCGGGCCCGTCGGCGCCAAAGGCTTGCCGCTCGCCGCGGCGGCGGACGCGGCCCGGGAGGAAGAGCAGCGGCGGCGAGAAGAGGAGGAGGCAAGGGCGCGGGACGAGGGGCCGTCACCTCGGCGGTACTACCGAGACTCCAGCGATGATGAGTCAGAGGAAGGGCGACGCGCCAACATGCTCGGGAAGCTGCAGGGGTGAGGGGACGGGCGCGCCGTCGAGCCCCGCCTCGGCGCCCGCGTACATTGCATGGTTTCGCTTGTTTTGCCGAACGCTATGTTTGGCTGCGCCGCATGCCAGCGGTGCTGCCGCCCTGAGAGCGCGGCCTGCCTTGAGTTATGCCCAGCATCATCGTCTGGACACCGACTTGCTCGCATGACCTTTTTTTACGCACAGCTCATAAACGCCAGAGACGCACTCATCTCAGCCCCAAACCATGGTCCCTCAGCCCGCCTTTGCCTACCTGCACACACCATGCCACTCCCCCGCGACCCAGGTACGACTACCGGCCGCAGCAGACCGGGGGCACCGCCAGCGTCAGGGGGGAGGGGCAGTACCCAGATGACGCCTCAGAATACCCAGAGGAGCCCCTCTCAGAATATGGAGGTGCGGCTCGCCCAGAATATGGAGGTGGCCCCCTGGGCTCAACCTGCGTCCGCCCTGCTGACTGTCTGACGCACACTCGGTCCCCTGTGGCCCGCACCCTCTGGAGCTTTCTGGGTGGGAACGATTTACGTATTAGCTGGGAGCAGCACCTTTCTGTCACAACCCAAGGGATTACGCCCTGCGCGCCGATTTTGAGAGGCTCCAGCGTGTCCGCTCACGTTCTTCCTCTCACCCGCCGCCCACGCGCGCCCAGGCCGCGGCGCGGGCGCCGGCAGCGACGACGACAGCGACATTGTGACGCTGCGGGGCACTGTGCTGTACGATTTTGAGGCGCAGGAGGAGGACGAGGTGGCGGTGGCCAAGGGGGAGGCGGTGGAGGTGGTCTACGAGGTCGGGGGCTGGCTGCAGGTGGGGGGCGCGCGCGCGCGCGCGTGTGTGTATGTGCGTGCATGTGTGTGTGTTTGTGTACTTGTTTGCATGCTGGTGTGTGTTTGCGTTTTGCGCGCTTGAGTCTGTGTGTGTTTACTTGGTTTGGTGCATGTTTGCTTGTTGTGCATCTGTGTGTGTGTGTGTGTGTGTGTGTGTGTGTTGAATTGTCAACTTTAGGGGTTGATGTTGGCTTTGTCTTTGTCCACGCCGTGCGTGCCTTGCAAGCGCCTTGGCAGCGAGGGCCCTGCCCTCGCGTCGCCTGCGCTTGCAGGAGGGACCCCACCCTGTGGGGAGCCTCCCACCAATACATAGGAACCCAGCAGGACCAACCAGCTCCCGCCCTGCGAGACTGCGGCGCCCGCACCTGAGGCCCCGTCCGCGCGGCGCCGTCCCCTGCCGCTGCGCCCCGCACCACGCCGCCGCGCCCGCGCCCCCGCCGCCCCCTCCGATTGCGGCGCCCAGGTCATCACCCCGAGCGGCGCGCGCGGTCTGGTGCCCAAAACCTATGTCACCATCCACGAGGAGGAGGAGGAGGCGCGCGCGGACGACACGCGCAGCATCAGCAGGTGCGGCGGATGACATGTGGCCCGCGCGGCGTGCGGACCAAGTGGCTCCGCCGATTGCTTTGTTCGGATCGGACAGCCCTTCGCCGCCTGCCGCAGCCCAGGGCGGAGGGGCGCGGCATCACACCGACCCTCGCCGTGCGCCGCTTCCTCAAACCACCGGCCGAGCCGCTCAGCATCCGCGCCTCTCCCTCCCCGCCCCCCCACGCTCCATGCCTCGGCCGCGTTTGCTCACTCTCAGCCGTGCGAGCAGCGTGTTTGGGGAGACCCAGGCCGACGCGGCCGCTGACTACAACAGCTTCCTAGCCAGGTGAGATGCGATGGGCGGCCGCCGCGGCAGGCGTTGCAGGGGCCGCACGCGCCACCCTCGGGCGGGCGGGATGAGGGCTTAGCAGGGTGAAGGAGATTGGGACGCCCTTTGGGGTGGATTCGGGGCAGTGTTTGGGGCCGAAATTCCACGTTCTGAAGCGGCCGCCGGCGCTCGCGACGCGTTTTGCCGCCGCGCCGCCGCCGCGGCCGGCGCCAGGGCGGCCGGATGCTGCAGCCGCACCTGCTTGCGCCAGTCCCCTAGCCCACTGACCCACCGGCCCCGCCGTGTGCGCGCGACTGCAGGTCCTCCTTCCGCCTCAGCAAGCAGCGCCGCACCTCGGACTCGTCGGGCGGCGGCGGCAGCTACCGGCGCGGCGCGTCGTCCGCCGGGCGGCAAGGTGCGGGCGCACGGGCCTGCCGCGCCCGCCGTCGCCGCCGGTTCCCCGCTCCACCTTTTTGGCGTGCATCACCTCAAGCACCCCGGCCGAAGCCGATCGCTGCCCAGCGGCACGCACTTGCCTCGCCTTTCCTGCACGGCATCAAGGCCGTCCATCCATACACAGCAGCCATCGCGCCAAAAATCTTCACCCCAGCAAGGCGGCCCGTGCGCCGGCAAGCGGCCAAGCCGTCAAGCTGTGCCCATCCCCAGACTCCACAAGGGCCCCCTGGTGACCCAACACCCCAC